GTATATTAAATGCGTCTTGTGCCTGTCTTTATACTAGAGACACATAACCAGATGAACTACAAATGTTTGCCCAAGTATGTCCAGATGGATATAATCCGTCCTCTAGTATAAAAATGGCCAATAACATCAAAAATTATAGGGTTAGTATTTTGCTCCACGTCATTTGTTTGTATTCTAAGTAATGGAATATACACATTGTAGCACATCATTTGTGTCAACCCTGAAAGCATCACTTCATTCCACATTTTGTATTGTAGAACAACTTGTTTCAATTTTGGCCTGAGAATTAATGTCTTGGTTCCAATTATTGTAGCAAATTTTCCCCAAGGAACATCGTTGTCTGTAATTGGTGCTATGAGCATCATATTTCAGAACTGATTCTTAAAACACTATGAGGCATCATTTGCATTCCTAGCCTCAGGGCGTTCAGTTAGTTAAGGCACAGAGCGAAAAACAGCGCACAAAAACAAAAGAGAAAGTGTAGCGAGAGGAAGTGAAAGAGAACACCTGTGGGCAAACTTAACAAAAGGTCCTTCCGCCTACTTATAGAAAGCCTACAGAGACCCATAACATGACTGCTGGCTTGTGGTTTTCAGTTGTCAACCTTATTTAGCTTGAAACAAGTTCATGAAATATTTCAAACTTTGTCCATCAAAAGCCAATACAGTCGAACCTGTATTAAGCGACCCTATATTAAGCAGTCACCTCTAATAAGCGGTCGTAGTCACCCTTTACTAAGTCCTGACAAGCTGTTTCTATTGTCTTGACCTGTATTAAACAGTCACTTTGTAAAAGGAAACCACTCAAATACTAGTTCATACAATTACAAATAGCACACCAGGTAATTGATTTCCTTGTTTATTTTCACAAATCATTAAATCGCCAGATATCAATGTTTCTGCCTTGAGGTCAAAAGTCTTGTCAGCATTGCGGATCAAATTCTTCTTTCATTAATTTCTGTTTAAGCCAGTTGCACAAGAAGTCATCCCCTTGAAAATGATATTCACATGACACTTCTAGATCATAGCCACCTCCTCTGTTTACGCGCTTCCTTTAATCATGGCCTTTCCTGAATTCAATGGTCTCGTTAAAAACTTAGTCAACCATGTTGCCATTAGTTTAGGAACATGTTCGATTACATCAAATTAGTCTGTCAAGTTGTTCGAGTGTAATGTTTGCTTGGTAGCCATTTTCAGTGGTTTTTGAACTTGGTTTGGCATATCCGTTTCCTCTTTTGCCACTTGAACCACTACAACAGCATTTGAATCATTTACGTTTTTTTGGTTCTCACTTCAGCAAATACTCATCCTCTGCATTTGGTTCCCAATCATCCATGTGTGCATGATATCCCCTGAGGAAAGACTTCACCTTCAGCAACATTTTCTCTTTCTTTACTAATTGGTGTAGCTCCAAAAACGGAGATAGGACCACTCTTGATAAAAATGAAGTAATAATTATTACATGGCTTGACAGATAACTTAGCTCATCATGTTGGCTTAAACCCCTGCATGATTATAGCGATATTAAGGCGATAAAATTGTGCGATTTCAAAGTGGATCTAATGAAGTGGCAAATGAACTGAGTGGAGTGCAATTTTGGTCTGAAATCATACTTGTG